CTTGTAGTTTAAAATCGGGTTGATATAATCAAATTGAAAGTGTCTGCTTTACGTCTACCGAATCGATTGTAGATTTTATTGAAATTTATTGCTTCGACTATAAACAAAACCATAAACCGGCCGTAAATACGGATCTAAAGCAAGCGTAATTGTCTCCGTGTGTTTTTCTTATTTAATGGATTGACACCTACTCGTATCAAATGCTAACATCCCGAGTTTTATATTATGATTTATTTCTCGTATGGTAGCCATTATAAAATCAGGTGGGCATTGTGAAATAGTTTAAAGCCGATTTTAGTGTCTACTATGGTCATTGTCTATGTCATTGGCTGTAATACTTTATTGTTCCTAAAGAAATATTTTGTAATTAAAGTTTTAATTGCCACTGTTATTACAAAGGTAACTAGATTTAAAAATGTATCCAAACCAAAGTAAAGTATATAATATAACGTAAATTAAGAGCTTATCAATCTTAACGCAGCATCATGTCATGTCATCAATGAAAAAAAAATTATTTGCTAATTTAAGGTCTCAAATATTTTTATTGTAGAAAGCCAAATCGCCGACGTTTAATTAGCTTAGTTTGTGTATATTCATCAGGTTATTAAAGAGAAATGTTATTTATAAGACTACATGTCATAATTTAACCATTTTTACTTCTTTTCCACTTAGGCTGTTAGCGGGATGGACGCAATTTAAAGAAGGCGTCGGGAGCTGCGCTGAGGCCCGTTTTAATATTTGCTCCGTAATGGGTGTATTTTAGAGCTTGCTAGTTTACGAACAGGTATTCAGTGGCGTTGCTGAGCAGATTGTCTCTCATTACATCTTGCATTACCTAGTCTAGACTTGGTAACAGTTTTTTCTTCAAAAGTACGTTTAGAATATTTTATTGTTAGTTAAATATTTTGAGCTCGTATGATCTATGTACATATATGACCAATTAACACATTCACTGCCAAATGCATTGTAAGTTGCATCTCTGTAAGCAGTTTTTGGTAATGAATGTACGATTGTGGCCATAAGTTTAAAGTGTTTTAATTATTTGTAATTAAGTATTATAGGTAAGTTTTGATAATATTTTTAATAAACCTTTATTTATTGATAAAAAAATGCATTTACACGGCGCCGTGTACTTGGCCTACGGAGCTATGAGTGGCCAAACACACGGCGCCGTGTATTTGATTTTTGTTACAGTATGTGATGTACTCATAGTGTTTTTGTGTTAAATTATTTAAATTAGAACATAGGTATTACAAATTAAAAGAAATTTAATAATCACACAAGTTTAATTGCAGAAAAAAAAAATACCAATAATGACAAGAATTTTCAAAAATTATAAATGTTGTTCAAAGTAACATTCAATGCATAGGGCTGGCCTTCCAATACAGCTCTTGCATTCATAGATAGTGGCAACTCGGTTCTTCTTTTCTCTACACCCTTTACATTCTTTTCTTACCACTTCTGTGATAGACCTTGTCGTGTTACCCTCTTTTTTTAGACGCGTCTTAACGTTCTCAATTTTGGTTAAAATATGTTTAGTTGAAATTTTCTCAGTTATTTGTTCAGGTTTTGGTAACAATTTTGCCAAAATATGTAAACGAAAATCATAAAAATTCATTTTGCTACTGATACTAAATTTATTATATAAATGCCACGCATTATTCAAGCTCATTTGGAGTGTGTGGAAGAATATCTTCTTATACCTTCTCATGGTTTTTCTTTCACATGGATAATAAGACTGCATTTGGTCCTGTAAATCCACACCTGACATAAAATTGTTATAATGAAGAATTGCTGATGGTTTTATGATAACAGTGCCTCTTTTGTTTGTGATTTCCATCATTTCATTATCGTGCTGTCGATATATAGAGCACGTATCGCTTGTCTTTCCATTTACCTATATGTACACCATTTAAAAACAAGGATTTATTTTCTCCTTTACGCAACGTGACAGTACCAAGTTCTATTGGATTACCTTTTCGATTTTTATTTAAAGTACCCGTACAGTATGTTTGGCGATCTAATAGTTTGACAGCTAAATCATACGAGTTATAATAATTGTCCATATAGACACTGTGTCCCGCGTCCAATTTCTCTTCCAGTAGTTTGAGAACTATTTTTTGAGTGTGCCCTACTCCAGACGTATCATCACCCGCACCACCGTATATTTGAAACTTCAGTACTGTGCCATCTGGTTCTGCAAGTACGTATAACTTTACCCCATACTTATGGCGCTTATTTTTAATCTATTGCCTAAACTGCAAACGTCCATGCCATAACACCATCGCTTCATCCAGAGAAAGCTGTTTGCCTCATTACATCTTGCATTACCTAGTCTAGACTTGGTAACAGTTTTTCCTTCAAAAGTACGTTTAGAATATTTTATTGTTAGTTAAATATTTTGAGCTCGTATGATCTATGTACATATATGACCAATTAATATAATAATATTTTGAATCGAATTAACATTTTTGCTCTGGTGCAGCCACGCAGCAGTCAGCTGCAAGAATAAACAAGCTTGTCCAGGGAAGTACCACGATTTCAATATTCGGTCGTTAGTAACATGTAAACATTCGGAAATGGAACGAATTTTACAAGGTGAGCCAAGACCGCGTATTATCGGGAACGCTCTAGTTCCGCGAGCTGTTATACATTCGGTGTGTAACGCGGCCATAATGAATTGTCCGTAATTATCGCCCGGTGAGATACGGGATTTCGTAAGCGATTCGATGCTTATGAATGGACCGGCCGCTAAGCACCGTGGGCGATCCAGAGCGAGAACGGCGAATTCCGTGTCACCAGTAACGAGTCACAGACGCCTTATCTCTTTCCCAACCGTTCAGAGAAATGGTCGCTCTGTGAACGTCAAAATACTGGTCTTTACCTTATTTATGGGACCTGTTCGTTTCGAACGCATTGATAGTACAACGTTGAGAGAACTTAATCCGCAACACTATCAACGCTGGTATTAGCTGGTAAAAATAGGTGCTTAATGTAATGAAATACAAACAATGAAACAATCGCAGTAAAATTTTGAACGCTTTGGTACATTATAGTACGTATAAACATAAACACTCAATCACTTAACGAAAATATTAGATTTAATTCAACGTAGGTCAGCCGTGATAGCTCAATGTCCGGGCACTCGCCTTTAATTCAATATACTCGAGCTACCTGACTTCGATCCCCGGTGTCGGCACAAATGAAATTGTTAATTTTAAGTGCTGAATTATCACATGCTCGGCGGTGAAGGAAAACATCGTGAGGAAACCTGATATTGATATTATTATTGCGAAAATATTCGCAATAATAATAAAAAAAACATTTCGAAATTACCTATGTGAAGTCCGCCAAACTGCAGTGGGGTCGCGTGGTGGACTATGCCCTGATATTTGCCTTTATAGGCTGTTACTTTAATTTTTTTTATGTTGGTACTTGTTTTAGCCCTTTGAGTTTTATTTAAATCCATATGTCGTTTGACAATCTTTCAGGTATGCAAAATTCTAAATACGCTCGTTTATAAATAAACATAAATAGCACCTTTCACTAAAATTGAATTTATTTAGAAATAGCAGAAGACAATTATGTGAACACGCTTCAATGCAAGCTAAAACCTTTAATTAGTTCAATTCAAATCCCAATACCGAAATGCAAACTAGTATACTAAATTAGTAGTTAAGTAAATATGACCTTTCCATGATTTAGGATAATATTTTAAATGTACTGAATGTTCGGTGCTTAATAGTGTGCGCATGTATCAAAGAAATAATTAAAATGTGTTTCAAGATAACCGAGGAAACCATTTCCCTTATACAAAACATGTAGTCTTGAAACAGCACCGTTAATTCATTGATATAATGAATTGTTAGTTTCATCGATGTAATTAATGACTTAGTTTTCAAATAATGTTGCCGTAAGTCGTAATTATGTTAAGCGCCAAGTTCGAAGAACGCGTTAGTGGTTTAAAAATAGAACTAAGATGAAACTATGTATCAACATTTCCAACATTTCTTCACATCAATCAAAGGCAAACTAAAAATGGATCACTTCTTTGCCGATGGAGGTTTTGAGTTTCTCCCATAGTAATTTATTCCGCGGTCAAATGTTCGTAATTCAATACACTTTCGTGTCCAACTGTCATACCATGCAATGAGTTCCATTTGCATAATTGTCATTTATCTTAATCGGAATTGATTTTACAGTTAAAAACCCACCTTTGGAGTTATAACGCCTGAATAACTGAATAAACACATATCTGTAAGATATTATATCATATAAGATCTTTCTTGTTGGCGTCATAAAAGTTGATTTCTATATTGTAATTTACGCCGACATATGAACCCACAAAAAACATTCAAATATTTAAATATATATTTCTAGTGGTATATAAAATATGCACTGTTTTGCGTATAAAGATAAATAATTAATGTATACGATTAATTGAAAAGATAGGAATTTTTTAAATACATTTATAACCAGCTTTACCCGCGATTTCGTCTTCATGGATTTGGTAAGGGAATTAAAGATGTGTCTTAGTCAGCATTTAGTAACAAGAAAAAAGTTTTAGATTTGATATATTATATGTACTGCTAAACAGCTTAAGTGTATGTTTATGTATGATTATAAGGAAAAAAGATATTAAAATCCTTAAGACAATGCTTATGGTTGTTCTGTAGTCAAATTTTTCGGTGTCACGGGTTGCGGGTTAAATTTCTTCACATGATGATTAAAAATTTCTTTAAAAACGTTTCTCATCTATCCCTTTGTTCGAAAACATATACGTAATCAAACACAAATAAATATGTATAGAACCATTTTGTTATCTGAACAAAAAGGTAAAATAAGTTTTAGGTTAGTTCACAGTATAGAGGCTAATTGAAAGTGTGGACGCAATCGAACTTTACAACACACACTTATCAAATCCCATAGCGCTTTAATAAACACAAACATCTCGATTAATAACGATAAACAGAATCAAAACACTTGCGTATAGTACTTACATCATGAACAAGTAAAACAGAGCAGGCCCTTGAAGCAGCATTTCGATCGGTATGGTCTCATATAAGCACGGGTGGGTACACACGGGTAGGTATTCACGCACAGCGAGCGTTATTTCTCATATGTATTTATTTGCTAAATGTTCTAAACAAAAGTAACACTTGACGTTTCTACTTGACTTCACTTGAAATTGAAAATACGTTACGGAAAACACAACGACGCTTTCAACCGGCATTTTCGTCTTGCTGCGTTACGTTGCTCATCTTGATTGGGACCTGTAAAGGAAATATAAATTATTCACTTATTATTGTAGGCGAATACTAAAGTGTTAAAATTTGAACACGAATTAAAGATGTATTATGTAAGAAGACGAATGTATGCAGCAGTTTTACAGTGAAATCGGTCAACTTTTAAATAAGACATACCTAACATACTAAGAATTTTATTGAATATAAAATGGAAATTCGATACAATCCATTTAACAGTTTTACTCAAACTTTTCGTACACCCAGGGAATAATTATTTCAATGAGAGTTAAAACAGTTACGAAAAATTTCGTTTTAATGTAACAGTACATCAGTAAGCGATGCAAAGAATAGATTTAATCCAATATAAAATTGAAGGATTAATAACTCCATGCCTTCGTATATAAATCTTCTAGCAAGCTCCATGACGCGTGTCGAGCACGTCGGTGTAAAAATAGAAAAAAAAAAAACGCTACAATCCGCCGCCAATGATCGATCAATTTGTGATGTAAAATAAATAACTCACTCTATAAATCGTGCACCGACTGATCTCACAGAGGAGCGCGGTTTCCCACACGTTCGTGAAATATTGTATCTTTTTCCAGAATACGTTAACAACCAGATGGTTGTTTCGACATAACCTAGAATCGGTTCAGCTTCCAGATCGAACTTTTTAGTTACAACTAATAGAATTAATTATTATATTTAGGACAAACTCGAAAAATCACTCGCTTGCACTAAACTACGGATCGGCTGTATAATCATTGCCTTGACATTTGTTTGAGATACTTCGAATATATGTACTAATATTATTATTCACCTTTATTGACTATAAAATTAATTTTCTCTAAAACGTAATTTCCCTTTATTTTTGACAGGCTTTTTAACGCTTCGAACAATCTTATTATTGATGTATTTAATTTAATAAATAAAGTAGAAAAAAATATTATAATGTATTTTTTTAAGTTAGAATCAAAATTAAATATGAATGATAATTAATTTGTTTAACACTACATGTTAATGTAATTATGTGCTAGTGTAATCATAGAGACACGAGGTTTGCAAAAACTCCTAACATTAACATAAAAAAAACGTGGATATGCGTGACTCATCGGCCATCGCAGATGATCGTGATTATACCCATACATCAATAAAGCAACGGTTATCCATACTCATTAAATGTTAATAAAAAAAAGAAGAAATTTCTAAGTCACGCAGTAATGCACATAATATTAATCGGACTCAAGGACGATGGAATCTTGTTTATGTTTACTTTAATCTACTGTTATTAATTTATTATAAACTCACAGAATATCATAATTATAAAAACGTAACACTGAGTTAGTGTTTATACTTATGGCTCCTCATTTATTATATATAGATGACAAATTTCATTTATTATCCCTGGCAATTTTGTGAGGTTTATGGAAAAACTTTTTCAACACATATGTTGTTGCGACATATTTAATTTTAATACAGTTATAGGCAGTGTTATTATAATAACTAACTTTTGCTTGAAATGATTAATTTAATTTAATAATATAATGTTTTATGTTATTAAATTAAATTACCCAAAACAAAAAAAATTATGACCTTTTGGTATAGGAACAGAATTACTTAAATTTATAGATTATTTGTGCTGTAAAGAATAAAATGTCGTAGCTTTAGCTCAATCTTCGTATAAAGAAAAGAAAAAAACAGTTAGCAACACGTAAAGCAGTGTTCGCTCTCAGGACTGATAAAATCTGCTGCTCACTTCGCGCTAAGCAAGACTCGTTTCCAGGAAAAAGATCAGCGTAAGATGGATGATGTAACCTCGTAGTACAGTCCCAACGTCTACAGTACAGCCACGTGCAGAAACATGTGTCCGTTCCAGTCACTTATGTTTTAGGTTATGTTAAATGGTTCGTAGATCATTCATTAGCTATTTTGACGACTCAGAATTATTAAAATCTTATCAGAGTTATCAAAAAATACAAATAAAGTAATAACAACCATCAACCTTCGTTATACCAATAGATTAAAAAAATACTTGAAATGTTTAACATATCTATAGCTAATGTCTAGAATCTCTGTAGTTGCAAATAATATGATAACTTCAATATTAAACTGGTAAGTAACTGAAAATTCAAAACTAAATTTAGTATTCCCAAAAAGTTCAAATAAAATACTAACGGATTATGGTTTACGTCGTCGATTTAATGTTGTTTACGAAATGTATCGGAGAGTATTAATACATCCGAACTTTTCTCAGCGACGACCACCACGTCTAAGAAGACCGGACAGGCAGTACGACATACTGAAAACGCACTATTCCTGGCGGTAGAATGTAGAGCATTAATTATTTACTTAATTATTTCACTAACATTGAATCTGTCTCTTAGCAGACAATCCTTGCTGGGAGGTCAGCTGAACTACGATAACTAAGATTCGTAACGCTGTTCCTTGGATAGTCTTATTTTAAAATTTTAACCTGAGACTACTAATAAAGCAATACCGTGAAAAACAATATATAGAGGGAATATGTTACAATAACTACACACTGCACTACCATCTGAGTAATATTATGCATTTTAGCGTGTCCTTATATCCAAATACAATATGCTTGTTTTCAAGATAACAGAGAATAAGTATCTGTTCCAATACTATCGAGTAGAAGCCAAGTACTAATCGGCACTTCATAAAATAAAGCTCTATTTAAACAGGGATATTTCTGTTATTTAATCTTTTTAAACGTTACAATCGTCTCGATGCAAGGCGTCTAGAGAAAAAGAAACCGTTTAATCGCATTGCCCGCATTAATACCTACATTGAACTCGATTCGGTGGTTTTAAATTGCGGTCGGGTGTTTAATATCAGACTGCTACAGACAGTCTAAAATTTTAAGCATGTCATACTTTTTCAACGTCAAATTAAGAACAAGCAAACAGCGTGTGTCTGCAGGTACATACACCGCTAACAGTAGCCCGTGAAGTAATTTCACAATAACGTATCAAAACAAGCGATTCGTGTACAAATAATTTTTTAAAACTAAGCAAGCGCGACGTAAATTAAATTTCTTATAGAAATATTACCTTATTTACAGTTATTTAATGTGTTTCATTAAAAATAAGCCGCAAATTATCAATAAATAGAAATAGGTTATAGCTAAGATTCTCTTGAAATTCTGTAATAAATATCACTCATTTTTACGGTCTAATTAATCTATAAATAACATCTTTATATATATGGCCAGCGGCAAATATTCTCATAATTCATGGCCCTAACACGAAGTAATAAATAAAAACCCAATTATTTTTGCCATCTCTATATTGACATCTTAATTTTTAAAGCGATCATCATCGCAGCTAACTCAATTATATAAATACATTAACTGTTGACGTCCAGAAGTTTCACTTCCAAGTGACCTCTGCTCCTCAAGGCGCTGTAACAAATCAATATAGCTGACGTTTCAATTTAGGTATTGACGCGTTTTAATCTTCCCCATTGTCTATGCGTTCGGAAGCTGTTCGGTATAAGTCTTAATAAATTTCATCCATAGCATAGCTGGATAATGCGTGAACGCGACCCGTTGGAAAACGTTACAACGATAAATCTTTTGACCGCCTTTTTCCTTTTGTTCTAACTCCGATCCGGCTATCTACGCGGCATCACATTACGGGCATCAATCATTTAAACAAATTTACTTTACACTTCAATTCATCGGAACTTACTTTAGGGCCTAAGACCATTGGTTGATTTAAGATAAGTCTTGCATCCAAGATATTTTTTCTCGCGAGAGTTATTTTTTTTATCAAGATTTCACTTTCTTTTCTCCATCTATGAAAAGGACGACCAAATAGTTATAATACGTAGATCGGAAAACATGAATTTTTCGTAACACTCAACCCTTGACCTGGAAGCAGGTGAAATGACGTCACGTCATCATTATAACGACAATTGTCTAAGCAGCGCCACGTTTACTTTTGACCAACTGGGCAAATAGTATAATGCCATGAACCAATTTACATGTCAAATAAACCACTATTTAAAATGCATGTCTTTTTACTGTTAAATACTTTCGTAGACATTATGTGCCAGTAATAATGTCATTTGTAAAATGAAAACACGTCGTGGAATTTTATTAATTCATATTTCATATTATTTATTTGGATCCCCAGTCCTAAACGACTGTGCTATAAATTTAAAAAAGCAGGGAATATTTATTGATCCATTATTATTCTATTAAATATTTCATTATTAAATGTGACTGTAATTTGTTGTAAAAGTATAAAAACTAAATAATGTGCCCTAAATTTTAAGAGTATATTATTTTTCCAACGTTAATCAAACGATGTAAAAAAATCACTCATCAACGATGAAAAGTTTTTATTTAAAGCGCTCAAATATTACGTAATATATTCTGAAATTATTACTTTAAAAATAATTCAAATTATGAGTTAAATTTATTTTAACAACATTTATTTACTTTATTATGAAGAAAGAAACTCTTGCACACCTTTTACAATTTGTTTTATGTAATAATAAAACATTAACACGGATAATAAAACATTAATTTTGCTTTAAACATAACACTGGAAATGAAGCGTTTAAAAAATGCTTGCAAATTTTATGCAAAATGTTAATTCGTATAGAAATTTAATGAAAAATATAAAGGAGGCTATGATAGCCTATAATAGACTGGGTCGCGATTAGCGGTCACGAGTTCGTATCTCAAAAGCTCGCACTGATTTTAAATTCTTATTGCTCGCAAATATAACCATTGAAATCACTTCCTCCTATACTATCAGGATATAGG